GGTTGAGAGCACGACATCTCATATTACTTTTAACCCATAGATGTTTCTCTATGACAAGAAGACCCATGAAAAACAAACATATAAATATTGAGACATTAAGAGATTTTCTGAATATTGATGTAGCCAGGTTCCTTTGGATCTGCACATCCAGCCCTGCGTGTGTGTATACACACACACACACACACATACATATATACACATTTTTTCTGCATATCTAAGTATCAATGTAACTGCATGTTCTGAAGTAATGCATGTGTGTCATTAACATCCAACCTCACGTGTGAAACATTTAAGATTGCTTTTGACATACGCTGGACTTCAACAGCCATGTATTAGAAGTCAATTTCCAACAGTCTTATAGTGAGGATATGCTTAAAATATCTCCAGATATACATATAAATTGCACAGAGCATCACACATTGACTTCATGACAGATATGATGGTATGTTGAAATGTGGCCTTTTTAAAAATCATTAAACACTATTCTAATGAGCATTTGGTATGAATCTTGGGAGGAAAAAAAAAACCCTACTGATCTTACACCTGCTCTTTAGCAGTGGGAAGTGGGTTCTCAATCTGTTAACACGACCATCTGGCCAATCTGCATATCGTGGCTATCTGTATGATGGAATGGCAATAATGTAGCCAAAATAAAAACAAAATGCATCAAAAACTAACAGTGGATTCTGTCTTTTGATTTAAATTAAATAATAAATGCGGTCTCAGAGAAAACCAAGAAAGTACCCTAAGTAATTAAAAATGAGCTTTCACTACAACATAATTAAGGTAACAATATGGTGTATGTAATGTGGTAATTGGTAACACTTTACACAGTAAAACACTAGACTTTTGCAGAGCAGATACCAGGGGTTCAGGATGCTGCGACAGCTCTTTTCACGATGTACAGTATTGTTAGAACACCTTTCACATTACAGATACATACTGAACAACTGAAGCTATTAACAGGATTAATGCAGTAACAATCAATAACAATTGTACTAAAAGATGATGGCGCAAAGTGTTATGTACCTTTCTGACTTGGAACTAAAAGATACTTACACCGATATTCTGAATATATGCAAGTATGTTTCCTGTATGTGCATTATTTCAGTTGATACTCCTTTATTATAGTGTAAGTATAAATATTAAAATGCCACCAATCATAGCATAAAATGTGTCTATTTTAAGTTTAGTCATGTGTACATACTATTGCATAGTAAATTATTCACAGAAGGTATTTCAATGCTAAGTAAACTTTCAGTTACACAAATACGTTAGACTTATTTCCACTTTGACTTCATTTTTAATATTATTAAAATCAGTAAAATGGTTTTATTGACATTAAAAAATCCCAGATTTATTAAAATTTAGCATTTTTAAATGTCCATCTTAAAGATTAAAAGATTCTAAGTGGCAAATTTCTAGCTAGCTTTAATTCTTGCCTAGAGAGGATAATGTCTGTCAAAAAATCAAGTATTGTGTTGTTATCACTTTGTGGCCTATAGATTACAACCTAGCTTTGTCCATTCAAGAAGTTTGTAAAAAAACTGACCTCTCAGAAAATTTAACTACTTCAGCTGCGAATCTTTTCTACAGTCTGATCACATTAGCAGAAGTAACTCTGAAGCAGTAAAAAACTCAAGAAAGTTCTTGGTTGAGTGCTTACTAATGAACAAAGGTTAACTTTATCTAAAAGGTCAAATGCCTGGTGGCTAAGGTTATGACCTTAACAACTTAAATTGTGACCTTGCCACGTGCCTGGTTTATTGTAGACTCTGATACAGATCATCTGGTAAAGGACTGGTCATAAATTAGCTTTACTGTTACACTCCCACAAAGAAAACGGTTTGCCACAGTGTTTTCCAAGTTGTCATTTGATACATGTGCAGAATAAATGAAAATTAAAAAGCCAACCCAAGTGAAGGGTATGAGAATACTTTTCTTAAACAGGTTAAAAACTGCAAATTGGAGCTGATGCTCTACAGTTCAATACATTTTTGGTCACCTTCTAATTCAGAAAACACTGATATTCCTTGTTTTCTTACAAAAATGGCATGCAGCTTGTGTATTCACATACTTGAGTTTTCTTGTTCTTTATTTAGTTGTTCTTAAAAGAGAATAATTCATTTCTGTCACTGAATCTGCTTTGTCAGAAGCATTATTTAAATTTGGGCACATGTATTCTCTTATAGATGACAGTGTCCAACTAAAGAGAAAGCCTGGACTCAAAGCAATAATTATTGTACACTTTTAGATGGAAAGGAACATCTCACTGTTGAAATCATCTAGAACAAGGCATAGTGGAACAGAATTAATTTATTAAATAAATAAACAAATAAATATTAAAAAGAAGCAAGCATTATGGGTGAAAAGGCCACAATGGTTTTGGCACGTATCTGAAAGCACGTTTCAAAGTCTGCGCCTCCTGCCAATACTGGCAACTTCTCAAAACTTTTAAGGAGGTAAAAACATTGTTTAGTGTTTACAAATCTTCTGCACTATAGCAGATGCCTGTCAAATCAGCTACATGTAAGTTGACCAACCTACCTAATAATTGTGTTGGCAACTTCTTTGGAATAAATAACAGGTCTGTAAATCTCTGAAATCAAATCTGAAATATTCTGAGACAAAGGAAGCTTACTATTTTTTCTTTTGTCATTTTCCTGTTGCGCACACAGCATTAGCTGCCATTACTGCAGTTCTGTGAGCACCAATCACCATTGACTTGGCCAGTGTTCAGGTGTAACAAAGAATTCTGGGATACATCAGAGGAAAACACAAAGACGCAAAGGGTAGCCTGATCCATGATGCTTTCATGACATCTTTTTTAGACAAATACTGCACTGCATGCTTCCTAAATATCATTTTATAACCATTTTGTCCCACCTTATGATTAGATTTACTAACCTCCTAGCACAAACTAGTGCAATAACAGTGTAATGCAATATATATAATCAGTAAACAACAGGTAAAATATTAAATTGTATAGTTAGTGTGAGAGGTTTACAGTTTAAAAGAGGCTATCAATGTAAATAAAGATTAAGTCTAATGTTTAAGTTCCTGTGGCAAAGGTTTAGTCCAAAGAACAGTAAGTGCAACTGCGGTCTGTTTGTTACCACTGTCATAATGATAAGATGGTATAAGATGGTATGCCGCTAATCAAAATATTATTAGACTCTTTAAATATCTAATGTGTGACTGCCATAACAGAAAAAAAACTATCACTTTAGGCCTCCTTATATTACATATGTACTTAGTTTGGCTGCTTGTCTCTCTCTCTCTGTCTCTCAACCATATTCTATCTAGACATATACAGAATGACAGACAAAAACGATAATGTGTGTTCAAGTTTTTAAGGTAGGAGGACACTGGTTTCTGCTGACAATTTACAGTGCTTTTCCGAAGCCTGCATTTAATTCATGAAACATAACACTAACTAAACAACATGAGTGCTAAACGTAAGTCTACACGAATTGGTCATTCCCATTTCTCTATACCATGTAGTAAATAAATCACTCTTCCTGTAATAGTTGCCTACATTTTCTTCTCCAGAAATGTGAATTGATCAAATCACATCTAATTACAAAGTTTCACAGCTTAACTATGTAAAATACCACAATGTTAGCCAAAGGTGCCTTCTAACCATAGTGTATATCAATAAAGTTACTGAAGTGATACTATGTATCGCAACGAATACTGATTTATTGAAGACAACTTTCGGATAGTCAGCACTTTCTGTATCACCCAAAAAGAATGCTAGATAATAGATGTATTCTCTTCTTTTAGCAAGATTTATATTATTATTATTGTTATTATTATATATTTATTATGTTTCTATTGATAAGAGTCCACTGACTTCTCTTTGCCCCTCCCCTCCTCCCCGGTTTCAACTCCCTTCAACCCCCTGTCTTAAATTACTGCTGTGAATGAAATCCAGTGAAACTAGTACGTATATATTAAAAGTCAACAAGCTCCAAAAACTTGGGCCTAATGTTTCATACACAGCAACTCTGTCAGAAACAAAATGATTGAAAAGAAATGCTACAGCATGTTATTTTATCCAGTTGACCTATTAGGTAGCCTCTGAATATACTAATATTCACAGGCAGGGTGTGGTCTGCATTGGAGTCAGAGACAAGATTGCGAATTTCATGACGTGTAAAAGCGTTTTCGCTCTCCTGAATGCAATATTGTCAAACAAGCCATCAGTTCTTAGTATCAGTCAGATTCTAAGTGTATTCATTTATTGTATGCAACCTCCACTTTTAACACTAACCTTACTTTCCTCATTTGATACTATAGGCCTTTATTTTAGCCACAATCCACACTGCACTGTTACATTTACATATTTGTGTGATTTCTTTGCTTTTCTTTCTGGGACCAATCCTGCAAGATGCTGAGCACCTTCACATATCACCCACATCAATACGAGCTGAAGGCACTGACTGGGTCTTGCATTGATCCTTACCACCACTGGGCTTTTGACATGTCTATTTCCCTGAATTTATTCCTTACACGACACAACACACATACAAAGCTAGTTTAAAAAAAGGTTTAGCTACCTTCTTTCTCTTACCAACATTAAAATAAGGTCCATTTTAAACAGGCCTCTAGATAGTTCTAAAAGACAGCCTTTAACATTTCCTGTACTAATATTAATGTCGGCCACTTCTGAAAGCAGTTTAGATGTGCCAAACGTTTGACTGCTGTTAGTATTGGAAAACCAACATATCTTGACACTACTATTTCCTAAAGGCAACAAAAAACGTGAGAACACCTGTTGATTCACAACTAGAGTATATTGGTGTAGATTCTCTTAGTTGTCAGGCCTGGAACTGGCGATAAACCATGCTGCCAACCACATTTACATGGAACATATTCTTCCAAGTTCAAACACTGACTCATACGGTCTCTGACTGGTCATAACACTCAACTCAGATGGTACAGCAGAGGACTGTAGATATACAGAAAGTTGGACAACTTTGTATAAATGCACTTACCTGCTGCGTGCACAAAGTATGCCAAATATAAATCGAGTTCCTTAACAGAAACTCCTATATGATGTGGCTGTACGCACAGCCCTGGGTTAGAGCACTGTGGGGACTTTACAAGGCGTTCGCCATCAGTACTTTCGAGCGGAATACCTTTAAATAAAATCACCATTACAAGGTCCAACCTCCAGACCTTATCTGCCTGGCGTAGGCAGTCAATTCTTCTCATCTTGCCCTTCTGGTCTGGATTGGAAAGAACACAACATGGAGGCTTTTTTCCTGTGACTGTGAGAACAAAATCCTCTCGGTACTCAGGCCTGATATCTTTCCGTAGCTTTGCCAGAAGTCTGGATGCCCATTTTTGTTTGACCTCAGGTTTTTCGCTCAGCAATTCGTCCTTCACTGCTCTCTCTTCCTCTTTTGACATGCGTTTTTCATGTTTTTTGAAGTATTTTCGTTTTCGGGCTTGCAAGTTGAACCATGTGTATGCAAATGCTCGGACGTGAGGCAGAAGTGCTTCGATGAAGGGATGAAATTCATCCTGGAAAAATGATAAAGAATTATACTGATGTCATGAAAACACAAACAAATCAGTCACAGAGTTCAAAACAACTCCTTAAAATACTACTTTAACACACAAGAAATTAATATCCTCTAGAAGTGAGAATTAAGTAATGACAATGTGTATATACTATGCAGTGCAGAAAACACAAGCACCTTTGTAATCTCAGACACAAATACTGTACATATTGTATATACACAGTCACACACACACACACTATACATACAGCTATACCTATCTATATATAAACTCTTTCTCAATATTATATCAACCTAAAGAATATGACACTGCTATCACAGAGGGTAGAGACCAACTAAAATACACATAAGTGTGAGGAAGATTCTGTAACTATTACACTCAGTCCTAAAACTTAAAATCATTAAAAAATAAAATAAAATAAAAGTTTAAAAATAAGTGAGTGTAGTGACCTTAATCCATTTTCAAAGAATGCATATCTTACTTTGCTCTCTCCCTGACCCCACTGCTTGTGGTGTGGCCAGCATATGCCCGCCAATTTGGCAAATTCTAAACATTTGGATGCCAATCAATGTTTGTATGGGGAAGTCTGAAATACAGCAAAATTTTCCCTAAGACATATTTGGAAATGGCAATCTGCAGTGTAATAAAATTTCAGTATAAGTGATTTTATAATATAGTAGAAGGTGCCTCTAATCTCTGTCTACTGCACCTCTAGAAATAGTAAATCATGTAACCAGTTTGCAGATTTCTCCAGCATGCCTAACAGTAAACAGTATTAAAAATTTAAACTCTACCCTTATAATTAAAAAAAAACTGTTTGGTTTATATGTAGCCTACCAAAAATAATAAATCTGATATTGTGCCATGGATACAAGACAAGTTCTGACGGCCTTCTATTTAAAAAAAAAAAGAGAGAGAGAGAGAGAGAGGGGGAAGCTTATATGTAAATATTAAGGCACAAAATCTTAGCATTTTGTTTTATTTTTGTTAATATATTTTAAAAGAATTTACCACATTTATAATACTTTTCTCCACCTGAAAACATTGCTTGCCTTCAGTAATAATATTTTAAGTTCACTCATCTTACTTGAGAGAGAAATATTCAGTACTGAAAAGTTTCTTGAACTTGAATAATATGTTGCAAGAAAGATCCATATATTCAACTTTTTAAATAAATAAATATACCTAAAAAGTACTACATAAATCAGACAGGGAGATCAAATTATGTTATAATTCATTATATTCTGCTTGTTATGTTTCTCTATGTAATACTGTTACAAGATGTTACACTATCTATAGAAAAGCATATACACTTTAAGGACCCAGTTCTGCAAACATGTATGCAAAGGACTAATTTCACTCATGAGGTCGATGGGACTGTTCCCATGCATGAAGTTACTCCCATTTGTGGGACTGGGCCCTGCGGGGCAAAAAACAAAAAAAAAACACCATGAAACTGCACAAAGCTTCCTACAGCATGTTAAACTCTAAGTTATGTCCATTCTTGCAAAGTAAAAGGGTTGGTTTTTTTCAGTTTAACGGAATTTCTTCACTTACATTCACATGTAGAGTATGTCACGTACCAAAATAATTTCATAACCTTAAAATAATATTGTTAGAATATACTTATTCTACAGCTCCAATGGCTTTTTTTATTTTCTTTTTTTAAATAGGCTTTGCTGCTCAAACAAATACAGGCAAAACCAAGAAATCAGTGGTAGGAACATTCTATTATCAAATTCCTGTTACAATTCAAGACCTTGTATTAGCTTTCTAAATGGCTTAATTGCATGTATTCTCTGTGGTTCCTAAAATTTAAATATTAAAATCGGTAAACAGCATTAGATCATTTATATCAGAAAAAAATGGAGATTGTTAGAAACTACAGAAAATGAGAGACAGATATTTCAATGCAGCACGACAGTGCAGGCGTCATTTCAAATATGACTGATAACTTAAATATAATATGTAAAAATACAATAAATTACTTTGGTGAGTGACACTTTTCCCCCCTCTGTTGGAGAAGATCCTGGTTTCAAATTTCAGTAAAGTAAAAAAAAAATAAAAATTGCTGCCAGGTTTCAGCCAGTAGATTGAAAAAGTAAGAAGAGAAGGCAGCAAACATAACACGTGCAGCTGCACTTTCACAAATCAAAATGGGTTTAGAAGAAAAAAAGGTAAAAGCTGCAAGGCACCAGAAGCTATTAAAAATAACAAAAACACACTTCTGATCCTTAATGTTCTCCCCCACCCACCATTTTAGAAGAGCCGATAGTGCGAAAAGCCCTTCTGCAAAGTCAACGTTTATCTGCTAAGGTATACCCACAATTCATTGAAAAGACCTACATTGATATGGAGGATTGTTTTAAGCATTAATAAATTCTAAATACATCTTGATTTATCCAGAAATATTTAACTTTCTGCTTTCAACTGTACTTCTTATTGACTGATTCCATATGCCCATAACTTTTTTGGACCTAGGCTGGATACTATCTAAAATACAGTTCCTTTAGTCTGTCTTAAAGATGAGCTACAGAGAACCTGAAAGGAGGGCGGGGGGAAAGGAACAGGACGGGGATGACTTTAAAAAAGCTCCGAACCATTATATGGCCAAAAGACCAGGATATAATTTTAAGCGGTTCTTTGTCTGTATTAAACTGCTACATGCTACACCACATATATATACACATAACATAATCATATAAATAGTCTAATGTGAGTTTTCAAAATGAGGTACTAAGCAAAAAGGTTAATTCAAGAACAGAAGACTGACAAACTAACTCATCCAGCATTTTGAAGTGTCTTCATAAACATATTCCCCTGTAAAATCAACCAACCTAAATCTCAGTGACAAGGTATTAGCAAAATATGAACAGGGATAAAGGAATCCACTATCAATCCAACCAAATTTGATGTTTTATTCTGCATAATAAAGTTATTTGTTTCAATGTTATAATGCTGAAAAACTTTCTGAAATGTAGCAATGCAAGAATGAGTATACATAAATGTGCAGGTCTGATCACATGATCACAGCAAACTATAAAAATTTAAAGAAAATAAGATTATTTTTGCCTTTTCTCAGTTAAAAAATATTTCAAAAGTTTACTTTAAAGGCACAGTTATCTCCTTTAACAATTAAAGGTTACTCTAAAAAAATAAAAGGCACCACTAATGTGTTTAATACGTTTTTTTTAAAAGACAGTGATAAACAGTAAGCTTTACCATAAAACTTTCTCACAGTTTGTCGATATAGTGCTTCAAAGCGCATTCTGCATCTAAAAGCTGGGCCTTAGAACTATATGTATATAAAAATTCTCACAAACTCTTAAAAAACCTGTAAAACCTGTAAAATCTACTGACAAAAAAAGCCTTAAAATCCAGATCAGAGTAAAAGAAATAATGTAATGCTTTACAGTAATTGTTTTACACAATATATTTACGTGGATGTGTTTGAAAATAAGTCAGATATAGCAAGGGTAATATTTCTAAAATCCATGTTCCTAGAAATGTTTGGCTATAAATCTATAAAGAGAGGTACATGTGTGCCCAAAATATATTCTCGATATGCAGCAGGGAAGTGAAACAAATGCTGTGCATATTTTCCTTATAGATGATTCAAATCTCTATGTCAGGTACATAGTCATGTCATTTCAGTTGCGTTTCTTGGACTAATGTGCTTTATGACCATTTTTTAAAAATCCACTTTCTAATTTTTTGCCTCTAATACTGAGCCAACATTTTAAAAAGCATTTATTTCAAAACCTGTATAAATAAAAGGCTTATGTTAATTCTGACATGAAAAATATAAAACTACTTACGCCCTTATTAATGATTTTGCGTATGTTTTCTACATAAAATGACAAAACCACATAACTGTTCCGTTCTCAATGTCGAGTTTGTAAAGAGGGCTTTTGAATCCCTAAACTACTTTTCCAAATGTGCAACACGAATGCAAGAATTCTGGAACAGAATGATACAATATTCCGCATTTTAAAATATCCCAAATTTGTCTTAAGTCTTCTTCTTAATGTCCCACTGGGCCTACTAAAACAGGATTACATGTGTGCCGTTTGAAAGGAGAATAGTATATGGCTATTTCTATGAAAGTTATGTTATTACCAATCATCCAGGACAGGAAACAACAGACAATAGGTATTTCCAGTTCCATTAATAAACTGGCATAAATTTGACCAGAAAGGTACAGAGTTTGGAACGCCCCTCTCCCCCCGCTTCACCCGTGCATTTCACTTCTGCTCACAAGCCCACTCCATTCACCATATCTACCTTCTGCCTATAATCAACTGTAAGATTATTACCATGGTAAAGTTCCAACCTATAGTCACTTTGGATACTATAACCACAAATTCATTGATTTATGGAAGGAAAAAATAAAACTTTTAAAGCTATTCAGGCTACTTCTGAGAGCTATCTGTTCCCATGATCCAGAGTCATTCTCCAGCACATAGCTCTCTCTCTTTCTGTGTGTATATATATATATATAAAAACATAAAATAATAGGAATAATGCTCTCAGAATCCAATATAGGAGGAAATAATCTCTGGTGTGAGTCCACCACAAAGTATTTCCTAGTTCAAACGATTATCTCCTGCTAATTGAAAGTGTACAATTTAATGTCTGCAACAACCTGGATTAAAAGGGAGGGAAGAAGGTACTTAATTGGAACTAAATAGAAACTATCATCCTTATGAATAACAGTCAGACTGGAAGGCATCTAAATCCCAGACAGGATTACAGAGCTATATGGAGGGGAGGGGACGCTTTGGAGAGAACAAAAATCACATCTCACTTCAGCTTTATGCCTTTTAATAGTGAAAAATAATATGAAAAATGCCAGCACGGGATCTGGAGCAGCAAAAGCGCAATTCTTTGCCTCAGGAGGTATAGAGGGAGAGAGAGGGGCTGGGAAGAAAAGTTGCCCGAAGTCCTGAGCAGTTAAGTGTAGCTGGAGCACCAGGATCTAGAGCAGCAGCTGTGAAAGGAAGAGACCGTCCGGAATGGAGGGCAAGTCTAGGGCTGGGCGTCAACACACAAGCTTAAACTCCAGAGATCCATGGAAATGCAGTGGGGAGGGAGACAGTATGTAGAGGGAAAAGGCATTTGAAATAATCATGTTAAAAAATAACACACAGGCAACTTTGCTGCCCTAAGGGCTCGAGCAACTTTGTAGAAAACACTGACGGAACTTGCAATCCAAACTTCCCCCACTTCCCAAACATCCAGGCAACTGTGACACCCGGGAAAGTGACAACGCGCGTCAAATTTCTAGGGAGGAGGACAGAGCTAGACTTTCTTGACCATCGGAGGCTGCATCTACAGATCTGTGCATGGGGTCCAACGTACAGAGCTGTGGATCTCTGCACGGCTGCAGTGTACTTCCAGGGATACAGATCTGTGCACGAGAGCACAATGTATGTACAGATGTAGATCTATGCAGGAGTGCAGCGCGTGCAGCTATACGTCTCTGCATGGGTACAAAGTGTATTTTATATATGATGGGCTATACATCAAGACAATGTATATAGCTGCAGATCTATGCGTAGGTGCAATGTTTATAGCTATAGGTCCAGGCATGGGTAACGTACAGAGATACTCACAGGCAACCTTAACTGCATCTACGAACCATACCCTTACAAACAAAAGTGTGGACTTTCGGGAGGGAAATCAATGCAGACTATGCAATACCTTACGTCTTAAAATAGAACATGCAGCAGCTCTTAATGCTACACTTACAAAAAATGACCCTAAGCACATCTATGTTTTCATGCATTACTCGCATCGGAAGCACAAACGGTGAGTATTGATTGCAGATGACCAAGCATGTCATGGGCTGCAACCCTGCTAAACACGTGCAGGTCGTCCCCCCAAAAATTGCATATGAGCAGAAAACCCCCACCACCAATATTAATTAAACCATTAATAAGTAGGCGCCATTAGCCATGTGCCTACACAAATGGCCGTGCAAGAAGAGGAATGCAACCAAATGGAAACAAAGTTACTTTCTTAAAGCTGTATTTCTCCCCCCCCCACCACCACCCACCATCCCCCCCAGCGCATACACACACACGCAAAACCAGCCCCAAATGCATCCAAACAGCTGCTTACCTGGGTGAGACAGAGAGGAGAATACATGACTGCTGTGGGGGTTTTTGTGGTTTGGAGGTGTGTGTGTGAGAGTGAGAGAGAGAGAGAGAGAGAGAAAGGGAGAGAGAGAGGAAAAGAGAGAGAGAGGGAGAGAGAAAGAGGGGGGAGAACCTAGCCTGCTTCTTGCTTTCACATTTCCAACTCTGCTAAACTGCAGCGAGCGCTGAGCAGCTCCATGAGCTGAACTTTAACCCCGCCTAGACTTTCCCTACACTACACACTATACATGTCTACTGTACCCAGGCGTTAAAGGCATAGCACACACTTCCCTCCCACCCCCAGCTTCCAGCAGCGCGCCCAGGCTCCAGGCTCCCCGGGAACCTGCCCGCGCGCCTCCTGCTCCTGCTCCGCTCTGCACCGCACCAAGAGCAGCAGCAGCTCGCTCGCTGCCTTGCCCGGGGGAGGGAGGGGAGGGGAGAGGGGCTGCAGTGCTGTGCTCGGCCAGCCCTCCCTATCCCCGATCCCCGCTCTCAGTGCATTACTGGGTAACGCAGTCAGGAGCAGTTACAGGCAGGACTCACGGGCGGCTATAGGCTACACAGGATGTGCTTCAGCAAACAAAACTACTTTTCCACAGTGCTATCCCCCCTCCCCACCACCACCACCCCCTCCCTGACTCCGTGCATCGCCTAAAGGACTGGAGGAACTTCACCGACCTCGTCAAGAAAGAGCGTGTACAGGCTACCGATTATATAGCCCCTAGATTGCGTCTGTAGCTCCACAGATGCAAAAGTCTGGGAACATTTGGGGGGCAGCTGCTCGCCTTGCAGACGCTCCTCTGAAGAGTGGGATATATTTAATTACGCATTGTAAACTCAAAACTTTTTTTTTTCTTTTTGCAGGCATCGTGTTCATTAGCGGAGGTCTTGAAGTTTTGTTGTTGTTTTTTTACATGTGGAAGCTTCACAGATTTTTTTTCCTGGACTGTTGAGCCTAATGAATTATAACCCTGTAGTGGGTACAGTCCACTAGGGTTTTTGTTTTGTTTTTTAAGACCTACACACGTTAATACGGTTCAGGACCATAAATATTTTACCACCTGGAATGTCTTTTAAAGTTAAGTCCCTTGGGGGGGGGGGAGATAAATGTGTTCAAAACTTTCCAAATCTCTCTAATACTTGGCATGTGAATGTCATTTTAAATAAATCACTGTAGGGCAAGGGATGCTTATTTTACTAAAAAATGCTCAACCTGTGCTCTGCATTTACTCTGCTGCCCCCTCCCCAAGTAAAAGTAAAGCACTTAAAATAGAACCGAGCCTCCAGCCACTCATTTAGGCTATAACGTACTGTTTTGGCACAAGGAAGGGTTTGGTTTTTTGGGTTTGGAAAGGTTCCAGTCAGCTAGCTTTTCTCGTTTATTGAGTCTTATATTTTCTCTCCGGTCTAACATCAGTATATCTCCTGGATGGAGTACTCCTCCTCTTCCTCTTCCCAATGAGCTGCATGCAGCCTGCAGACACATATCCACAACCATTCATAACCTTCCCCCCCCCCCACCCCCACAAAAGGAAAGGAGACGCCACAAGACACACCGCATGCAGCGTGCAAAGCTTCTCATGTGGATGGGAGATGTAGGTACTGTATTTCAAACTGTAAACCCTTTTCACAACAAGTTCAGGGGTGTTAATCCCTGTGCCCATTGCTGTTAAAAGAAAAGGCTCTGTCAGAAAACCTGGTGTAAGAAAAGTAACAAAAATGCTCTCTCTCCAGCTGGAGACTTTTTCATGTCTGTTCCCTCGCTAGTACGTCACTACATTTGCTGACTGAAAAGAGGTGGTTGGTATTTAGCAGGGTGATATTTGATGGAAGTTCTCTACAAGCCTGTCTTTAACTGGAGATGTCCTGGACTCACTGAAAAATGAGCTGTTTTCACTCAGTGCTTTCCTTTGATAAAAGAAAAAGTGGTCTGGATCTGTTAGTCAAATAATGACAAGAAACACTTTCAGCTAAATATTTGCTGCTATATATCACTTCATTGCTCTGCAAGTTTCCTCGATAGAAGTTTCTGGCTGACAGCAAGACATGTGCCTGAGGCACAGAGAGCAGATATTGACCAAAGCATGCCTTTTTGAAACAACAAAAACAACCCCCTCTTTTATTCCTTATTACAACTTTCTTTTGTTGCTATGTTTACATTGGCCTCTATTTAGAGCCCTGCGGCAAAAGCGAGGATACTTTTCAGTGATACACAGTAAGATCTATTTATAAAAAACAGCTTTGAGAATAAAGTGAGCCACTGGGGGTTAGTTTCTATTCTGGGGCCCGATCCTGTATTCCCTGTCCGACCCAAATAGAAGCGAGCGTGGAGTTCCATGAACTCCGGTTTAATGAACTCCACCGGCATCCTAGGTGCGCGAGGAATGCGGGATCGGGCCCCTAGCAGTCCTGTCGGTGCAGCAGGCAGCCTCGCTCCACGATTTCCAGCTTTTTGTGGTTAGCAATATTATCTTAAGTAACTTTTGGCGCCCTTCGTAAGACTTTTGGACGTGGGATGATTGTTTGCGCCCTCTAGGCAGAGGCTGCATCCAAGTTCAGCACCAAACCCCTTCACATCCGCGTTCTCCAATCCAGCACGCATTGTGCACGCTTAAACTCTAGGATCCTGAGCCTACAGAAAAGGTAGGAGAGGAGGGAGCTTTGCGCAGCGCTGGTCCCAACTGGCTCAGAACCTCCTTTGGCCCAGTGAAAGTTCCAACGGGAACATTCAAACAAAGCAAGGGGAGGAGGTTTCCAAGAGAAATCACCGTCGGATGGTATATAAAGCTATTAAAAGACACGCAGGAGTTGGGGCGGGGAAGCATAATTAAAGCAAATGCCTTGATCATAACAAAATAAGCGAGGCACTAAAGCAAACCTGGAGATCGGCTGTTAGGAAGGAGGCATTGGAAATGGGGACTTCGATCATTTCTTTTGAAAGTGCTACAGGGTGCCTTGCGATGGGGCGTCTTTTAAAGAGAGAGAGAGAGAGACTTCTGCCATAATCCCTGCTATCCATATTCTTTCTGGCACTTTGCCCGGCATTGCATTTACAATGTTTTATTTGCAGAAACTTTACTTTGCCAGCGTTAGTGAAATCCTCTTAGATATATAAATTCCGTCAATAAGAGTTCACTTATACGTACATCTGAACTCTCTTTTATTTCGGAGGTACTTAATAGTGAGGCCGTATTACTATGATTTAGACTTGGGCGCCCAATGCGCACTGAAGTCAGAACTCGGCTAATACTGAGCCTCCCCACTCGCCCTCTTCCCCCTCCTTTATACACTTTCTTTACTTGTTAAAGCAACAATTTCTTTGCCAGTTCCCTTGAGGGGGAGGTTGGGTTTTGTTTTGTTTTTTCTTTCCAGCTTTGTTGCACTTTGGTTACTACAAGCCGCTTTCTGGGAATAAAACACTGGCTATTAAGGTCAAGATCACGGACCCTTGAAAGACAGTCTGCACACAACTAAGTGCAAGGCGTGAATTTTGTGACTCCAAAATCTGCCTTAAGTAGCACACGGGAAGACTTAGGGGTCAACTCCTAGGGAGCTATTTCCAAAGAGCTAAAAGAACGCATCCTATTTCTAGTTAAATTTCAAAGTACCTACACCGCTCAAGGGAAAGATGAGACGGATATTTTAAGTCAGTGCCTGCCAGCTACTGTCTCCAAGACAAGCTGTTGGAATAGGTTTCCACTGGACTTGTGTCAGGGACTTATATCCAGGGGACTACGGGCCCGACTCCAAGTTAGTGTGTTACTGATCTCCTCCTACATTAGCACCTTCCGCACAGGGAAGACTAGTAACAGGAAGAAATGTACAGATTCATCAGTCGCGGGTTACTTACATTCCTGATGGCAGCTTTAGCTCCGTCTCCCCCCACTCCACAGCCACCCACGCGCGCACCCCCCCCAACTTTATAAAACATCTGCCAGTCGCCTGTGAACAAATCCAAAACAGACCCCCTTCACCTCAATACACACTGCTCACCATTCAGTAACTAATGGGTTAAGAAAACCATAAACAACCATACAAAGGATTAACACGCGAGGGGAAGGCGCACGGCTTGTCTTCCAAAGCACTTTCTAAATCTTCTAAATTTTGGCCCCGTTTAACAGTTAATGCGCAAAGACATCTGCGGCCAGCGAAACATTCTAGTGTCATCATCTAATATCCATTGTACACACATAGAGCGACAAAGTAACACCCAACGCAGCTGAGGGGGGCCCTTCTCGACTTCCCATGAGAAATACGGACAGCTTTTTCTTTCACAAAAATGTCAACGGGAAGGGGGGAGGGGTGGTCTAATCACCCTGGCATTCCTTTCATCTATTTGAACGTGCAAAAGGCAAAGCAAAGCACATACAATTTGTTTTAAAACCACCCTAACTCTGCATTTTGCTACACTAGCAGAAACACTTGTGTGTGTGTGTGTGTGTGTGTGTGCGCGCTTTGCTAAATCCGGAAGTTTGCAGCAGGTTTGACAGCTTGAAACTACACTGGCCCCTGCTGAGCTCCAAGAACTTTGAGGGGGGAGGAGGCCAACGCACTCTCAGCTTCCCGCCCGTTTGGGGTATTTCGAACGTTGCAACAGCCAAGCCGCTCTCTCATTGGACAGCGCTCTGGTCCATCATGGAGCTTTGCAACATTGATTAGAGAAGGCGTGTGTCAATTACACGCGAAGTCTAGACACTTCCTTTTGTGCTGGGTTGGCTGCCGATGCCAGACGTCTTTTTGCAGACTCGAGCACGTACATTTTTTTTTCTTTTTGGAACCGAGCAAGCGCTAGGAGGGGGAAAAAAATCTGTCAAGCTCAGCGGTTTTCTGAAATCCCTGGAGAAAAAAAGAAGGAAACTCTAGTGCATATAGACACACACAAAACAAAACCCAACCACACACGGCTGCTATCTCCTGCACACAGAACACAGAAATACATTCAGCTACACATTATTTTTGGTAGCAAATCATTTACAATGAATGTATCGGCAACATCATAGCTATTAAGTATCGCGTTACGTACAGTATCTTTGTTTATAAAAATATGGAAATAGAAAGTTTAAGATGCACCACGTACCATTGCAATGTATAAAGAGTACGTGAGAAACTTTACAAGGCTGAGACGATTGGCTTCATTGGTTGACACTTTTTTCAATTTTTTTTTTAAATATCTAAAATAAACTTGGAACCGTTGAAAACCCGGAAGATAATAAAAAGCTGTAGCCAACTGCAGGCTGCTGGTTAGGTTTCGTTCTTTTTAAAAAAAAAAAACAACAACTTTACTCCCAGATCAGAAGGATTTGCAATGCAATCTCACTCTCTCTCTCTCTCCTCTTTTTTGAAAGCCATCCAAGCCGGGCTGGCTGGGTTCTCAGAGTCTGTCTCTCCCCCTGGCTTTGCCTTGTGGGCTTTGGATTGTGTTAGACTTTGCAGAAGTTGCGATCGATTCGGCAGTCTCTCTCTCTCCCCCCGCCCCTCCCCGTGTTTATTTCCGCATTCACTCCAATTTGCATAGGAACCACGGACGCACAAGGAGGAGGCTGATGCACGCACGGGGCCCACCCTTGGCCAATGGCAGCTCCTGGATTTCCCATCAACGCGAGCTCCAGGATCCAGCTCGAGCTGCAGCCGCGCCCGGGACAGAGGGTCCACGTACAGTAGGCCCCAGCCCAGCAGCAGCGGCGGCAGGCGGGAGGAAGAGGAGCGGGGTATATCCGTACGCAGTGCAAGTCCTTTCTGCAGGCGGACATTGGGATGGGGTCTAAGGAGATGGTTTGCTGCGTGCTGTAGTGCGGGTGTCCGCCTCGCAGCGGATCCTTTCCCTTTAAAAGCAAAACAAACCCTACCGCTCTTTGCAAGTTACTTTAGTTCAAGGAGACTGGCCGGGAGGTCGGCAAAGCCATTTGCACTGGGTGGGGTAAAGTTCCTCTTAAATGCATTAAAACTGCTGAGTTCAGAAATCAAATGCAACCAAACAAAAGGATTCTAATTCGAACTGTGCCTGTCCTCCGAACTGTTGGGAAATCTGAAGGTGGGGGTGGGTTATCATTACAGTCGTGGATAACGGTAATAGCAGCCATCGAATTCCTGGCTGCAAAGTATTCAATTTCTGCAGCACCCCAAAAATAGGCCTGGTGTCACCCTTGCAAGTCGTTGTTTCTGTTAACTAGCTTTGGACACGTTTGCAGGATAACCCTGATATCTACAACTCCTAAAATACAATCTGCTAAACTTAATTTTAAACAAATCTCCAAAGAGGGCATGAGAAATAGAAAGCTACCAGTCAGTTGTGTGTAGCTTTGAATTACAGAACCACAAGGTTAGAAGGGATTGCAAAGGTCATCTAGCCTAACCCCCAACGATCCTTGATGATGAAGAGGCTTGTGTAATTAACAGCAGACAGCAAAAGCATTGCATCATGTATTGGAAGCTTGAGATCTCTTGACGTTGCAACATCCACAAAAACCAAACAAGCGAACAGTTGATAATTTCTGGAATTTTATAATTATTTTAATAGTACAGTGTGGCCCTTTAGCTGAGTAAGGACTGCTGGGGTATCATGGTTACCCCCAAAATATTTAATACTATTAAGTGGATGAGATTAGAGCTTTAAAGATGGATGAAGTGAGCTGTAGCTCATGAAAGCTTATGCTCAAATAAATTGGTTAGTCTCTTAAGGTGCCACTAGTACTCCTTTTCTTTTTGCGAATACAGACTATAGTGTTAACTAAAGTTGGTGAATAAAGATGGTAGCTATTGGTTAGCATAAACTTCTCTTATTTAGTGAGGGGCTTTTTTCAGATGGTTCCTATTAGCAAATCATCAAATGATGAAATATTGTCTGCAGATTAAATTAAACCATCTATGTTTTACCCGTGGCCGCTTGAGAGCTTTGTTAAAAGAAACATGACAAAGGATTGTCTACTATGTTATCAAGAGTTATCAAAGAATACTCTCAATACATTTCAAGTGGCTAAAGAAGGATGCATTGCCACGCAGGTTTGGCCTGTCTGCCCTGAAGGAGATGAAGGGAGCATGGGCCAAGCCCTTGGTTTGACTCCATGCACCAGGCTGACCAGGCTGCAACTTGCTTTGTGGCTCTTTGAAACTGGTGGGGGGAGCGGGGGACTGTTCCCTCCCTGGTGGCCCTGAATGTTCTGCTTCAACTGGGATTGGGGCAAAGTGAGACTATCCCTCTCAAAACCAGGACTGTTGGAACGTCTGTAGATGGGCAGATGTGTGATAATGACATTGGAGGTAGAACATGTTGAGTTTTTGGTGGGTCACATAAGGGGGAATTTAGACAGAAAACAATTAGGTTTTTATACAGCATGGCAATATTAACATAAAACTGTGATCATTAGAGGCCTGATCCTCCAATGTGCTGACTACCTTCTTCAAGGTTCTGAGCGTACTCAACTGCCATGGACACCCAACCTTCCTAGGTGCTGACCACCATCTGAGAAGCCCTGAACACTACTGACTCCCACTCACACCGAAGTCAATGGAAACTGAGGGCACTCAGCTCCTCTCAGAGTCAGGACTTTGGGGTCTGTTTGCAAGCCCACTGAAGTCAATAGAAAGCCTCCAATTGGGTTAAGATCAGTTCCTCAGAGACTTACATGCACTCTATAGAGCTAAATCCTCAGCACTTACTCTACAGCCCATAATTTGATGTGTACCATGAGGCATTTCTTATTCCAATAAAAATACTGTGTGTGGTGGAGGGAAGCTGTTAGATATTGACTGGGTTGGCATTACCCTTTCCCCCAGTTCTATCATTTGTTGCACAAAAGATACTTAAAAAAGGCTGACAATACCCATCTACTATGATACTTTCTTGGTGTGTTCATTTCTATTCTTTTAGAAGAAGCTAAAAATAAGATCACAGTCTGTGAGCTCATTTGGGCACCATAGGCCCTGATCCCCAATCTGGGGATCTAGACACTGCTATAATATAAATTATAAAAATTTCTTATGAAAGTAGTATGTAACCCTTAAACAGCAGGAGAAGCCTGCAGAGACAGTAAACTGACAGGCTCAACTGTTTTAGATTAAATGAATGCACACATAGGTTTGATGGAAATCTGATGCCAAAATACTAATTTAAAATTACTTAATTCCTGTGAATAATAAATTTTCACATATGCAGCTTTCTAATTGCCTTGGATAAGTACATAGCACCATCATCCTAGTACTGCATAATATTTAATGTATTCATCCTCACCACACCCCTGGAAGGTGGAGAAGTGCTATTATCTCCATTTTATAGATGGGGAACTAAAACTACGATCCTCAAAGTTAGTTTAGGCTCCTACATCCCACTGAAGTCAAGTGACTTGTCCAAAGTCACACAAGAAGTCTGTGGTAGAGGAGGGAATTGAACACAGGTCTACTGAAGTCCTAGGCTAGTGTTCTAACCATTAGTCCCTCCTGCCATGATAAAGCTTTCCAGTTTACATTTTCACTAATCCAATCTTTGTTCTCCAGCATATTGGTGGGGAAAGTCCATTTTGCTCCTGGTTCTAGCTGATCACTGAAAAATTCTGCAGATTTTTCCAAATGAGTTTATACTTTTATGTATTGCAAGTTATACAGAAATAGCAATTTACAATCAGATGGGTTTAAACTAATGAAAGGAAGAAAACAGGAATCAGAGACAGAGATCCAGAATAATCATCATTTTCTTTCCTTATTTGATTGTAGTGTTTACAATTTAATAAATAGTGTTTCAGTTTAAATAGTACTTTGAAAACAGGATTTGTTGTGAAACCTACAACCTACAAAGTTCATAGTGAAAATGGTTTTGATTTAACAAGTTAAAGATGCATTACTGACAGACAATTATTATTATTACGTTTTTATTTGTATTACAGTAGCACCTAGTCAGAGATCAGAACCACGTGTTAGGCATTGTTCATATATGTACTAAAAAGACAGTCCCTGCCCCGGTATGGTGCAAACCATCATCCTGCTTATTAAACTACTAGGCCACAAACATTACATGTAAAGTAACATACAGAAACTTTTTTTATTCAGACACACTGTATTATTCCATTTTCTCCTCTTTCTCTAAAACCGACAGACATCTTTCTCAAGGGCAATAAATGACTCTGCAGTGGTACTGAGTGATTACAGTCTCTAGTTCTGATACAGCTTTCTTTCCAAATCAAGTTCAGCATAAATAATAGGTCTCATAATTTTGGACCTAATCCTGCACTCTTCAGTAGTCATTTTGCTCGAGTAAGGAGTGTAGGATCAGTCAAATTATGAAAATACAGTTATGAGATACCTACTATATATTTGTGTTCATGACAATATACTTCCCAAACTTAATCAGTTTGTTTACTTTTGTTACTGTTTTGCTACCACATGACAACAGGCCCACTGAATAGTAGTATCTATCTATCAATCTATGAATACAGTGATTTGTCTTGTGTTCACTTACTACATACTGAATCTGACATTTAATAGCTGAGGTGAAAATATGGTTTAGAAGATGTTAATTGAATATAGTGGAATAAGATTAACACTCAGCAACTGCAGTATACTTTATAGAAAAGTTATGACTTAGAGAAAATGGGGAGTATAATGAAAGACTCCTCACAACTTATTTTGATACCACACGTAGAATGCTTTCCTCTATTGTCCAATGTTGAACTTTTTTTCTTTGTGAGCAACAAAGTTTAAAATTAAGACGAGTCAGATGATATTTCTCAAACTGCAATAATTAGTGATCTGTTTAAGTACTATGTTTGTTCCTTGTATTTTTCTTTATTACAAATAAGTCTGTAAAATACGAGCACTCTACTTTTCAGGCAAAATCTCTCCTAACTTTGTGCATGGGGGACGGTGATTGGGCATGAAGAATCTCGGCATGCTAACATCTGACCTTTCAGTATTATTGTTTCTGGTACTGTGTATGTTGAATGATGTCTGTCTGCAAATCACTCCAAGAACTAGAGAATGTATGAGGCCTTTATTTATCAAAATAGTGTAATCCATCATATGAGGTAAATGTCCAAATAAGGGGTAAGAATGTGTGTCAGTGGAAAGCTGATCACTTTCCTAAGATGTAAAGAGAACTTAAAAATCTAAGAGCACAAAAGTTTTGTCAATATCCTTCTGTATTTTTCTCTGTTATGTACTCCTTCAAGCCCAAATTAAATCTCCCCTAAATGTGAAAATATGCAAGTTGTAGAATTCACTCTAGGGAAGACAGAAACTTTTCTATGTCTCGAGTTTGACAAAATCCACTTTTTATTTTAAAACATTTTAACCGAGGAAGCGCTTGTGATTAAAATGTTAATACTGATCTTCAGCTTTGATTATTAAATTGAAATGTTTACTTGCTGCTTTTTGTGTGTATAGGGCTTCTGTCAGCATGTGCTCCAGCTGAAGCATTTTCTAGGTTTTCTAAACAAGTAAACTATATGATCAAGTTTAACTAGCGGGTTTTTTTGTTTGTTTGTTTGTTTGTTTTGCCTCCAGCTTCGCTGTTCAGAAAGTCGAAAGGTTTTGTATAACAGCTAATAAATGCATTAGCTTCAGCATCAGGACATTTTTCAAGTCTTCATACTGTAATTCTGAGACCTGCTGCATTATGAGTATTAGCAATCTAGATCCCTAGTTATGGGCAACATGGGGTAAGGTAGGATCTTTCTGCACATGTTGTTTTATTTTGCTGAATATAAGATTTCTTCTGAAAAAAGTAAGTTTGTGGTTGTAGAGCTGTTGTAATCCATGATGTACTTACCTTCTGGAAACAGGCTGAAATAGCACTAGAAAAGGAGAGAATTTCTTCTATTCATCTTAAAGGGGTGTTAACTTCCATATCAAGTTGGGACAATTGCAGTGCTAACACTATTAGCAATGAGACACAATACAAACACACTGAAATGTGATTATAAAGGGACAAATGAATCCTGGTTTTGTTCATTTGTTTTTGGTTCTGTTTGTACTCCTGTATACAAACACACATCACAACAGGGGACCCAGTTATTCTGTGTAAATGCAGTGAACTTTTTTTTTTTTGAAATGTAGCTTTTTCTAAAGCTCTGTTCACATCTTATGAAACAGGTGTATTGTTAGAATTTCAGTTTACCCAGTTTGCATAAATCAAATATAATATAATTTTCCATTTAGAACATGGAAAAGCTCTGCCTGCAGATTCCCCACCCCCCTTGGCAGGAAATAAGCATTTCCCTACAGATGTATTTTTTTAATCCTCTTCAGATTTGGATTGTCCCTAACTGTAGAAACTCTAGTATCGAAACAGAGCTGCTCATTTGCAATTTGTTCTGCACTTAAACTCTCCTAATGCCATAAATAAACTTTGGGAAAGTTATATCACAGTAAACCGTGAGGTGTGGTTTAAAATTATATCTGCTACTGTATTATTAGGTCTCTGCCGACATTGCAATTATCATTTGAAGCTGGCAATACTATATTAGCTGTTTAGTCAGAGACAGAAATAGAGGCATGTATAAACACTCTGACATTTTTATGAATGGAAGGTATTTTTCGAGATTTTTTTTCCACTTTCTTGTTTGTCCCGTATACACCAGGATCTATATCTTCCAGAATCCTTGTATATGTCACTTTAATATTCAGACACAATCAATACAAAACGGAACATGAGTCATTGTTACCCCGTTCCACCGCCCCAGACAAATCGTATACTTCTTTTATTAGCTAGTCAATCCTCAATCTTAAGAAAAGTAAGTACCCAGAACCGTTGGCTTTTATTTGCACATACGGGAGGTAAACCCTCGGACTGCAGTAGCCGCCCTAGCATCTGCATCGCTGGAAATAACAGCAGCATTCAACTGACATTGACCATGGTGCTAGACACTGTACACATCACAATTTT